CTGCGTAGGGAGGACAGCGCCGGGGCTGCTGACGAAACTCCCCAAGCCATGAATCAGAGCTGTCGTCTCCCACCAGCGACAGCTCTCGCCCATGGCTATATATAGTGCTGAGAGCGTAGCACTCGGGTGCAGGTTCAGGCGTTGCCGAAATCCTCGTGACTTCATACCGAAAGCAGCCTTATAGTGAGGGCTGGCAGGATGACGGCCAAAGTGCTGGCCTTGAACGGCAACCGTATCACCCCACGGCAACCCCGGCACCGGGCTGCGTCTGCTCTACCTGCCCACGGGGCAGGCCTGGGACGGGGAGGGGAATTACCTTGGCAGCGTTAACCAGCCTCCAGGCGTTCAGCAAGCCGAAGCCGTGCTGATGGCTGTGGCTGAAGCCGGCCTGGTTGATGTCCCACTTCGCGTGACGATCCTCGTACTGAAAAGAAACGTGGGGTGCTTTCATTACCTTGGGGGACACCGGCAGCCCTGCAAACCCAGAGCAAAGGGAAGCAGGCCTGAAGGGAAGGAGGCTCAGAAACAGCCCACAGCAGCGGGGAAGCAAACCCACATGGCCTTTTTAGAAAGAAACAGGTTGACCTTTGTTTGAAACAAGTCCCAGGACAAGCAGGCTTCCCAGCTCCTCGGAAAGGAAATCAAGCAGCACAAAAGGGCACAAATGCCTCTGCTCTGAAACGTCCCAGCTGCTCCCTGCTGCCCAAGCCACAGTCTGTGGGACAGCAGAAGCCTTGGGGAGAAGGAACCAAGTCCTCTAAATCAACAAGAGCTGGGCCAGGACAGATCTGGGGCCCACCACTTATCGGGTCGTAGTACTCCGGCAACACTGGCTTGCAGTTGTGGAAAACACTGCCCTGTGCCAGAGCGAGTACAGCATTAGCTGGACACGGATTCCTGCTCCCCAGAGGGGTGGGGAAGAAGCCCTGTCCCTAGGCCGAATCAGGCAGCTCCCATCAGTTCCCACTCCCGCTTTCTGCAGCGAAGCTGTGCTGGAGTCGGGGCCGAGCGAAAGGAAGGGCTGCATTTGCCACCGAGCTCTCTGTTGTGTCTGTTTCCATGAGCCCGACTCCCCGGAGAGCCTGAGGAAAGGCCAGAGCAGGGCAGAGCTCTGCGCTTTCCCACTGCACCGACTGCGGGGCGGCATTGCAGAGATGCGTGCTGGCCCTTCGGCCGGGCCAGCCGTGCT